CTGGTGACTGTGCAGGCCATGGGAGATGTTCAACTTCACTTTCATGTTCATCAAACCAATCTTTCACCAGTCTTGCTGTGTGTATTGGTGCTTTTTCATCCTGATACACGGCACCTCCTTCAGGATACAATGTTTGAACCATTGGATGCACATGGTCCTCCAGAATGGTTCGGTAGTCTTTGGCAGTGGCGCGCCCATCTAGCACAAGTATGGGGCCAAGGGAATGCATGGGAATGTATGGCAGGCCAAACCATCACTGATCCACCCCCATGCTTCACAGCATGCAACAGTCTGGGTGGTACGCTTCTTTGGGGCTTCTCCACACCGTAACTCTCCCGGATGTGGGGAAAACAGTAAAGGCGGACTCATCAGAGAAAAATACATGTTTCACATTGTCCACATCCCAAGATTTGCGCTCCTTGCACCATTGAAACCGACGTTTGGCATTGGCACGAGTGACCAAAGGTTTGGCTATAGCAGCCCGGCCGTGTATATTGACCCTGTGGAGCTCCCGACGGACAGTTTTGGTGGAAACAGGAGAGTTGAGGTGCACATTTAATTCTGCCGTGATTTGGGCAGCCGTGGTTTTATGTTTTTTGGATACAGTCCGGGTTAGCACCCGAACATCCCTTTCAGACAGCTTCCTCTTTCATCCACACTTAATCCTGTTGGATGTGGCTCTTGATAGATCACAAAGACTTGCTGTTTTGGTCACAGATGCGCCAGCAAGACGTGCAGCAACAATTGGTCCTCTTTTGAACTCTGGTATGTCACCCATAATGTAATGTGCATTGCAATATTTTGAGCAAAACTGTGCTCTTACCCTGCTAATTGGACCTTCACAGTCAGCTCTTATTGGTTCAATCTGCAATAAATGAAGATTGGCCACCAGGCTGGTACAATTTAGCCATGAAACCTCCCACACTAAAATGAGAGGTGTTTCAGTTCCATTGTCCAATCCCTGTAGTTCAAATGACTCTCCAAAGCTGATCTGAAACTCTCTTCTTAAAGCTTGGAGAACAATGCAATGGGAGGCCACATGTTGTATCTCCCCATGTCTTCAGTGTATCAACAATAAAACAAATAGCATTTGAACATAATGATAGGATTTAACATTTTACACCTCATGCAGAAACACAAGGAGCTTCAACAAAACAGTATTTTTTTATGTCCTGTCCTGGAATAATAAAAGGTTAAAGTCCTCAGTCATATACACATTCATATACACAATTTGTTTCCTTGAAAAATATTTTTTATGCGCCAGAATAACTTCATCGTTTAAAGTGTATTTTTCATATATTTAACATCTGACTTTCTGAAGCTTTGTTTTCATTTTAACCGGCCGTTAAAGTATATTAACAAACTCCAATTAGCTGCATGTAAGAGAGGTGTGATGCCTGTTTCGATAGCAGAGCTTCATTTCCTCCAAAACCTCTGCCTGTTCTCAAAAGAGAGATGACAGGCTACACAATGAGAAGGACAAATGCTTTGTCTTTAGTGTGTTTCTTTGTGTTAAATAAATATTTTCTTTATCCACTTTTTCATAATTCATTATGTAAAGTGGAAAGGCTCAGAAAGACAGAAAGAAAAAAGAGGTGCAATGTTGCCATTTGTTACAACTTGTACAAAAAGCTTGTGAGATGATGGAAGTACCTGTGCATATGGATTTTAATTAGGCAAGAGCAATGTAGGGACAATTGCTTGAAAAAGAGCTGAAAAAGTTTTAATTAGTGTCCCAGCAGGGGTGGAGGGAACACTGAGGCACAGCCAGCTAAAGCCCATACAGGGCCAGTTCTAAACTGGAACTACTCTAGCTGGGAGAGCATTTCATTTCATAGTATTGCATCATCAGGGATTATCTAACAAGAAATAATGTCACTAAGCCAATAAATACTTCTTGGAACTTGACGGGGAAAATTATTTTCCTTCCTCATACTCAACGTGTGAAAAGTAATAAAACAAAATGCAGTTCCTGTAAAATGGGGACGTGCCTTATAGTTAGAGTTATAGAATAGTTTAATTAGTGCATTGGGTACCATATTCTACATTTACGAAAGATACATTTAGTAAACACAGAGAATTAATTTAATATATAGCAGAAAATTTTGATTACAGCGAACACTTTGACCCTCTTTGCTTTGATGAATCGGGCAAGTCGTATATGCAGATTTTGATTTATTTCTCTGACCTTTTTTATGCAAAGGAGATGCATTCTGTAACATAATGTGATGTGTCAAGAAAAGGGGTCCAGCCTCTGAGAAAACAAGCCTTCCACTTTTTCTGCTCCTTTGTGATGACTCTATTGTTTTGCCTTGCAGTGGCTGCTTTTGTACTGCTGTGCACTGAAAGTTTATGCTTGTTAAAATCCATGCCCCAATGTGATGTGGCCCACAATATGTTATGCCTTATAACCATAGAAATTGATTCATTAAAACTATACAAAAAATGTATAATGAAATGCTAGATTTAGGAAATCATTCAGGCTAAAAGAATTTGTGGAAAATTTTAAAACCAGCGAGGAGAGATTTTTCCCAATGAACAAGCATACTTGACCATGCTGTTTAATTTTTGTTCCAAATAACAACAAATTCAAAATGAGGGTTAAACACCATTAAACATTGCAGCCACTTAGACCAAGAAACAATTATATTCATTATGACTAAGTATTGAGCACGACATACACTACTCATACAGGGTGCCTGGACCGTACCCTCATCGAGGATTTTTATAGAACTCATCCTGAATTACCTGGGCCGTCCGGTGCCGGCCCTTGAGGGGGGGGGGATTCTGTCACATCAGTGTTATCTAGCTGGGATTTTTTGCGCTGCTTCCATGTGGTCTCGTCATTTCCTCTTTTATTTTGATAAGTAACCCTCATCTCGTTTCAGGTCACTTGCACTTCCCGCTGTGTCATCTGTCCAATTGTCTTCCTGATCACCTATTTTGTTCACCTGGGGTTCCCTTTTCCTAATGTGTTGAATAGTCCGCGTTTCCCCTTGTCTGGTGCCAGTGTGTTTCGTCCCACCTCCTACTGAGCAACCTAAGCCATAGCTATATCTTGCCTTGCGCCTTGAGCCTCATTATACCTCGAAAGAGAGATTTTTGTTTTTTGATCCTCCTTATTTTGTCTGACTCCTCGTGAGTGTTATTTTTTTTACTTTGTTTATGAGCTTTTGCTATACTCGTTTTTTGAGTGATCCTGATTTGTTACTTTTCTGAAACTATCATTGTTGAGTGATCTTTATTTTGTACTTTGCTTCCACTCCTTGCGAGTGCGTCTTGAGTTAAGAAACCTTTTTTTGCAAACTCGATCCACGCATCTGGGTCCTGTTTGAGTTCCATCATGTCAAAATCAGTTTATGTTACCTTTATTTGATGTGTACATTTTAAGTTTTAAAAATGCTTAAGTCAACAGTTTTAAACATTATATACTACTCTTCATATTAAATATCAAATCAGGACTGGATTAGACTGGGATGAGTTTACATTTGTGGTTGCATGTTTGTAGGGAAGCAATGAGTGCTTTTAAATATTGATACGTTTTTTTTTCTTGCCATACTTTACACAGGTGACAATAATGAAGGGTAGCAACAAGGCAGCTCCTCTCAGAGGAGACGCCTTGGAGAGAATGAGGGAAAGAGAGTGTGCTATCATAATTAAAGATACATGAATATTTTTTTTACAGACATTTGTTTCACTGGCCTGGCTTTTGACAGGACGCCAAGACAAGTCCATGTGGAACAGGGTGTGCTAACAAGCATGTGAGTACAGGCATAAAACACAAAAATTAGCACCTTAACCAGATGAACATGCAAGTACTGGGATTGAGGCCAGAATGCCATCCAATGACAACCACATGCAGCAAAGCCAGGTGAAAGTAAATAGAAAAACAAAGTAATGCATTTGTGTAGGTAGATCAGGCACATTGTTGGCTTTGCAGTAGATATTTAGACCAACATATGTGTATGATGATGTAAAAAATTGAATAATAGTTTCTGGTGTTTTACGTGTCCCTTCGAAACTCTACCTTGCAATTGATGGAATAGAATTCGAAACGTTGGTTAAGCTATAAGGCTATAAGTAAAACCATAACAAGCTGAAGTTTGCTGGTTGGACACCAGATGGATGCTGGAGTCTGATGCACTGAGCTCTCCGACTCTCAGTGCAACCTCATTCCAATAATGCTTGTTACGAATTTGACTTTTTCCCTTTGCCCTTTCTCATCCCTCTCCTCTCTCCTCCTATCACTTCCTGGAGGTGTTCGTGGAGCTGTGGAGTCTGGATTTGTGGTTAGGATTCATCTCCTTTCACTTCCTGCAGGTGTTCCAGGAACTGTGGAAGCTGGATCTGTGATTGGGAGTCTCTTGCTGCCCCCGTGTTCCTACTCTGCCACAATTACAGCCACTTTTCATAGTCCTTTTGCTATTATTACTGCTATCATTATCATTACAATCAATACCTTTACCATTTTTCATCCAGTCTGTGTTACTGTTTAGGCTGCCTCCCACTGCTCCCTCTGTCTTCCTCTCTCTCTTGTCCTCTCTCTCTTGTCCTCTCTGTCTCTCACCACCAACCGTCTGAGGCAGATGGCCACTCACCCTGAGCCATAGTTCTGCTCGAGGTTTCTGCCTCTTAAAAGGACGTTTTTCCTTGCCTGTGTCGCCTAGTGCTTGCTCTTGGTGGAAATCTTTGGGCTTCTGTAAATAACTTAGAGTGGGGTCAGCCCTGCTCTGTTTGGAAAGCGCTGTGAGATAACTGTTGTTGTGATTTGGCGCTATATAAAATTGAATTAAATTGAATTGAGAGTCTAGTGATGGATGTGGTGGAGCCATACACAGAGGAAAATATTAGACTGAAAGAAAGAAAAGCTAAGGAAATGCGCTTAGAAAGTGAGTTGGCGGCACTAACTCCCACAAGAGAAATTGTTAGATAAAGCACAGTGAGCGAGTACCATCAGTGTGGGACATTTTATAGCTTTTTTGTTTTTTTTCCCTTCACAGACTGGACACTTTGGAGTGCATGGTAGATCCCCAAGTGACTCCACAACCAAGGTACTACCTGACATTAGTAACCCCCCAAAGATGCACTGCATCACCTCAGCTACAGTAAGAAAGTTGAAAAATTGCTCCCAGTGCACATGGCCCTTCCCTTTACATAGTGTGGCCTCCTCTCATCCTTTCAGAGACATTTCATTCCTTTTGCCAGTCCATTTTGGTCTCTAAGAAACACAGCTTTTATAATTCCTAACTCTTCCACTTGGCAGGATAGTGAGACCAGTTCAGCACAGCAGACCTTTTTCCACATGAGTTTACCCCATTAAGGCTGTTCTAAAATAAAGCTCTCTTAGTCACACATGAACTGAGGGTAAATTATGAATGGGGCCTTAGTGATGAAGTTGTGGGATATCTTAATGACATCCAACACATCTCTACTGACTCTGCAGCTGCTGAGAATTAACTAGCTCTCATAATTAAACTGGAGAATGAACATGCTCAGCCATCAATAAGTTATTGCTGGCAGCTCCAATTTACTACCCCGTGCTCACTGATTGTGTCCTCTAAAGTGATTCTCCACATTCCTCGGGCCTGGTATACACTTCTAGCTTGCTCCAACACATCACTTACTTAATAATACAATTCCAATTAATAAAATGCAGCTAATTCCAGTAATTGTGAATTAACCTCAGAAAAATCACGACTGACTCAAACAAACTAAGAATTAGTTACTGGATCAAAGTGAAGTTTCTGTGTAATCTGTTAGTTTATTTGCTAAGGTAACTTTCCAATTTGGCTCTGAATTAACAGGTACTGATTTATCTGTTTCATAAGTTATGCCAATGAATGCTGGCCTATGGCACATGCAAACATTATATCGTCACTCTTTGGCACCTTAAGACTCATTAAAGCTTTGTCAGCTTGGAATTTGGAAGAAAACAAGGAAAAGCAAAAGGGGAACTGAGATCCACATCCATTTATTCACATTAGGAACCTAGGTTGCTGCTGTTCTAAGTAAGTTTGCAGTGTATACTTCAGCACCACATTTAACATTCATGTCTCCTTTTTATGCTTTTATCACCTTGGATATGCCTGAATCAGCCAACCATGTATACTTCTGCCTTATCCTGCCAGTTCCAGGGACATCTAGCTGTCCCACTAAAAGTAAAACACATCCATGTATGCAACTTCATCCTGTCCTATTTAGTGATGCAAACATCAAGGAGCATTGTGCAGCTGATAAACAAAAAATTCTAGCCTGGCGATTTTGTTACTGAATGAATCTTTATAAACTTGATGGAGAAGAAGGAATCAATTTAATTTCTAATTAATGGAACTCCATATGATCATGTCATGTTTGATATGTGGCATTTATCAAACCAAGATGTTAAAGTGATGCCCCGAGTGTAATGTATACAAGTAAAATAAATGGAATTTCTCCTGTTTAAGTAGAGCTGTTCATGCACATTCCATAAACATCTACATGAAGAGCTTAAGGGTTTCCTTTCAGACAGGCTGTAGAGTGCGAACATAGAGAAAAAGTCAGGATGACTGAACTTGGCTGTCTTCAGGGAAGGGGAAATACATGTGCAAATCCTAATCAGGACCTGTTCTCTGCCATGTAATGGAGTAGGAACAACCCTAATGTCTACACTGGACAAGCAGAAGCTACATTAGTGAATAATGTTTTCAAGCATGGGACACCGTTTCTATTACGCTCCACATGCAGGAGGGAGGAGGAAACTGTCACTGTGAATTAACCACAATGCATGCAATGCAAACTTATCTTGTGTAATTGGAGTAAAGAAGTGAGCAAGGAAGGGGGGGGGGCTTTTTATGATAATACTATGCTCCTCTACATCACTGAAGATGCTATGTTTGAGACATTATGAAGCTTTTAGAAAACTGTCAACCAAGGGGATTCTTACACACCGTCCTCAAGAGACTGTTTCATTCATTCACTTTGCATGGATCTGGTTTGCCTTGAAAAAGCCTTAGCTAGTATTATTCAAACTGAACATTGCTACAGTTTTCTTCTTGTCAAAAAAATGTTCAGTTTACCTGATATCACCATCTCTACTGTAAAATCTCCTGGCATTACAGGTCAAAAACTCTATGGTTGCTTACAGTATCACAGAGTTCATTTCCACCTAAAAGAGAGTAAATCTCAGAGTGGAATCACTTTTCTGACAATAATTTATAAATTATGCACTGCTTGTGTTTGAATTCAGAAAGGCTTTCATATCTCTTCCATTAACTCAGATTAAGATTTCATACTGATGCTGGGGAGAATGCAAGCAATATCCCATCTCATTTCAATTAAAATTTTATTAGTGCCTTTTTTCTGTAGTACACTCCTATTGGGATGTCTGTGAATCTGAAGCTTGGCTTTGGACATGAACTCCCCTCAACCTGCTTGCCAGTGGCTCTAAAGGTTTCAATATTTTATGGGCTCAGGCTTACCCAACCGTAAGATTCCAGCTGCAGAGATTTAACTCTAATGCAAAAATTGTGAACGGATAAAAACTGGGATGTCATAAGTAATACATCTGTTCCAAGATGGGTTGTGGTTACCATCCACGCAAAAAAAGAAAAAAGATGTTACTGATAGAATTAAATAAATAAAAGAAGAGAAGAACAAAATTACATTTAGGAATATTATTTAGGAATAAACACTCCTATTCTTCCTAAAGAATGACCTAAAGCTATTGGGCTAAAATACAAAAACCTTAATCTCTGCATGCATTCACTGACTCTTAATAGTGTGCACTCTTTATCCCTTTTTATGCAGCCATCAATAAAACTGGTCCCCTAATGTCATCTCACTGAAGAAATGGATATCACACAACTTACACTTTATAGGACAAATCCATTGATTTTACCATCTTGCCTTTCTAATTCTTACAATCTAGATAGAGTTCTAAACATGATGAAAATTTGTCAATTCAGCTTTAGTATCCCCTTGCATTCTTGCCCAGAACCAACCAACCAAGGTCAGATAAGATAGGCCTGATGAACTTGTACTTTTCTCTCATCCCTACAATCTATAGCTTTCTCCCTTGAGCCATATGTTGTCTAGTGTAGTCAAGACTGCTTGTAATGGCTCTGCAAACAATGCACTCTTTGTGCTGGATAAGGAAAGGAAAAAGCTTGATGCCAGAGGGCGAGAAGCAGAAGAAACACTTTTAGTGCCTGCGTATATATATATATTTTTTATTCCATTATACAAGCGGAATGTGCTGGATATATTTGTCTTGACAATAGTTTAGCAATGCTCCCCACCCCACTGCCCTCTATGAAAGATTAAACTACTAAAATTGACAACATTTGCCATTCTTTCTCATGCTGCTAAATATACAATTTCCTTAACCCAAATTTCTTAACATCCTTTGTATTACATTAACATTTCTTCTTTTCTGTAAGAAAATAACAGAATTTTACCTACAGCCACCCTCAAAGGTGTCTATACTCAGTGAATTGGAACTTAAAGGCTTTCCTCACGCTGTATTTATCATATCTTATTACCAATAACAACATTGCTCCTCTGGGAGCTCAAGGGTAAGTATGCCTCCTGGCATTCCAGCCCCTTTAGAGACTCACCAAACAGAACTGAATATAGTCATATTGCTTGAAAGAATTTCAACTATAGAACATTCTCATGAGAGTTTTTCAGTAACTTCAACCACAAGCTCCATATCTCTTCAGGAGTTAAACAACTTTTACAGAACCGTGGCCAATAGATAATCTGAAATCAGTTGTTGAAAACAAACCAACCAAAAACCCCTCACAGAGTACATGCTGTCATGTAAGACATTGACACTTCCAAGAATAGCCTGCAAAAAATACAACAATCCAGCTAAAGTCCAGAAAAATAAATTAAAGAATGACAATTTGATTTTCACTTAAAATTAGTGAATAAATTATTTTCATAGCAGAAACCATAAGACAAGTAAACTGACCAAAGTGGTGCTGAACTGTTAAAATTATCACGAGGAAGTAAAAACACTGAAAAAAAAATCTATTTTTTGTGCAATTTTAGATTGATGTTAATTTAAAGTTAGAGATTCAATTGTTGGCTGAATTAATAGTAAATAAAAAGCTGTTCAAAACAGGAAATCGTTTGCCAGATGAAATGGATTTGACTGTTAAAAAAAAGTTATCTTACACTGACAAGGTAAGCAAGAGGACAGTTATTCTAATATTAAAATGGACCATGGTGATCATATAAAGATATGGAATAGCTTATTGTAGCACAGTGAATTTGAGAGTTAAATTAACTTTGTTAGTGATAATTCATATTTAGGTGGTTAGCCAATAGTCACACTATGAAAAGTTAGTCTAGGAAGCAATCAACTAGATAAGGTTTACTGAAAATAACAATCAATAAATTATGAAGAGTCTATGGCAATTAGTAATACATTAACTGTTTAGATAGCTAGGTCCTTAAATTGATTAACTACCAAGAGGGAAAGCTGTGGCAGTAAAACCAATGAGGAAAAAAAGCAACATAATTAAGGCAGCTCATTTTAATTTTTAAGTAAAGTAAGTTTTTAAGTAAGTAAATAGAAATTAAAAGTACTTTTGTCAGATGACGCAACTTAACTAAACCAATTTCAGCATTGGCAAGCCATCCATTCTCTTATGTTTTGTCCCTTTCCAGTGGCTGGACGCTGTCACAATTTCAGTTCCGAAAAGTAGGTGACAAGACTATTACCACCTATGATGACATTTATCCTATTTATAATCACAAGTAAGCTTCATTAATTTTTTTTAACTATTTTGGATTTTGATTGTGAATGGAAAATGAAGAACTTTTCACACCAGCAAATTCCTCACAGAGAAACATTGCAATATGCAATATAAAACATTTCCTCAATGGCGACAAAAATAGTAAGATCTCACCTTACAGTAGTTCCCAATGTTAATTATGGCCTCATTTCAAAGTATCCAGAATAAATACATTCATAACATAATTTGAGGTGCTGTTCACCATCAGTGCTGATAACTAATCATTGCATAACAACTGATTAGTTTGTAGAGGTTGGTGAGCTTTGAAGACAAAAATGTATGAAATTGAGATGAATACAGTGTATACTGTTTGTATACATATGCCTCTCTCTTAATATTGTAGGCCTATTTTTAAGATCTGTTTGTGGACAATTAATTAAATATTAAATGTGGGAAAAATTGATTTCCAAAGTATGAAACAAATTCAATTCTTCTTTTAAAAAATGTGGAACAGGCCATTGTTGGCTTGGTTTAGTGCTTTATAATTAGATTGTTGTTGACATATATAGAGGCACGGGAGATACAAAGGCCAAGCAAGTAAATGTCCAGGTCACTGTGTAAACACAGCTGATTGTCTGGGACACTCTTGTTATCTAAAAGTCGTTTCCATCATTAACACGAAAGGACACACATCTCCTGTGGGAGCAGACAGACAGCTCTGGGGTTAAAAGGCACATGCTCAACTATCAATATCTTCCACTAATTGTATGCTTTGTAATTAGAAGCATAATCAATTATGAAATCGTTTGTTCTGCCACTGTGACAAGGTAACAATGGGTTGTGTCCAAATCTGCATACAATAAAATGTACAATGACCTAGTGCAGAGCAATCCATGTGTATGACTGCAAATCATCATGTCATTAGATATAATTTGCACTTTTCAAGGTAGACTTGATGTTTATCTGGACGACAAGAGCTTCAACATTTGACCTCTACAACACTGAACTGAAACTGATTCGCTTAATCATCAGATGTCACTTCCTATTTTAATTAATCCTAATAGACTATTGATGTGACACAACTGTTAGGCTTTATAATTACTATTACAATTTAGACCAGATAATCTAACAAGGCAATCCAATTACTCCACAGGAAATAAAAAGCTGTGAGGCAATAATTATGAAACAGTCACGGCACAAAGAAAAAAAAATTCCTTTGGAAACAGAAATCTTTGAATACATTAGACAGTAAATGACAAAACACTACCTCAGATAATCTCATTGGCCAGTCATGTATGAGAGACAACTAATTGAATTGATTGCTACTATCAATAGCAAACAAATCTGTTGAGTTGTCCATGCTCATATAATTTGACCTGATTCCTTCAGCTGTCACTCTCTGTGAGAAAGCTGCCATCCTATGCTTTTTTTAAATCGTCACACAAGGATAAATACATGCCTTTATATTTTCAAGTTGATAGGGAAATTAATAAAATATATGTTAATATGAGCTTGATTGTTTTACAAAACAACAGCAGTTTGACAGGACTGAGGGGCTGAAGATTTGTCAGTGATATGAAATGCATGGCTACTCCGAGCAGCGTAGCCATTAGCGTAACATATGGTCTCTTATTCAGGCTTTCACTGTACCACATAATGTACCACATAATATATTATGTACCTCATATTAGAAGTTTATTTTTTAAACTACTGCTTTTGTCTTCTCAAGACCATAGCTGCTGTCTCTGCTTCACAACATTCACTATACCATACCTGCTCTTCGCAACCAGTGACATTTAAATAATGAGAAATAAACTAAAATACACTGAATACTACTTTACATCATCATTTTATGGATTTTGATTTGTCACAACTTTTTTACGATAATACATCTCTCTTGAAAAAAAACTAAAAATGTACTACCCTTACTTGTGTATCTATCCATTTTCATTAGTACAAAATTATGTCAGTGTATATCTGCTAGATAAAAGATATTAGAACAAAGTCGACTTAAATTTTGTGCAGAACTACAGAGAAAAAGATACGGTTTCCCATGATTTTGGCAGCAGAGCAATGCCAAGTGATTCATATACAAATGACCTGAGGGAGGCAGCAGTGCAGTGAACAAATGTGAGCGCAGTGTCTCACACTCTGAGATCGTTTTAAAGGCCATTTACATAGTGAAATCTAATTACCTCAGCTCTATAAGAGTGTATTTGATCTCAATCTTTAACAGAGCAGAACATATTATTAAGATTTTAAAAAGAGGGAGGGGTAGAGGGACTTTTCATAGATGGTGGTGGCTTACCGAACAGAGGAACAAGCTTATACACAATTGTGGCTTGCTCTTTTTAATTATTTTCCAACATAGATGAAAAGAGAAGAACACTGATGTATTTGTGTCCTGGGAGACAATGTAGGCTTTGGGAATATAAGCCCCCCCCCCCCAAAAAAGGGGGGGATTTGAGTGGATTGTCCTGGCTGTGAAAAGAAGTCATTTAGCTGTAAAGGTGCTTTAAAGGGGTTCTTAGTGTTGCTTTCTTAATAATCTCATATCAGAGTAACATGCTCTTTTTCCCAAGTGTGGACATAATCATTGCCATTGTAGTGCCACTGAGGATACCCATATAAGTCCAGGCAAATTCAAAAGCATATTGTCATCTTTCATAAAACTTCCCACATTTTAAGTTTATTATTTACTATTTATCTACGTAGAGAAAATGCTATTATTTTGCTGGGTCTTGTGGCCGCATGCATGAATTATGAATTGCTTCTTGTAATATTTGTCTATATACAGCTAGCAAAACAGGAAACTCAAAACATGGAATCAGGAATCAGGAAGCACAAATACTTAGAGATTGCTATTTCTATTGTATTCGTATTGTCAGGCATTCTATGATGAAATGGGAAATGTACTATTCGGGATCATTTATAGTAAAAGGGTGAGTGATTTCTTGTTCATACACGGTTCCATGTGATTGGTAAAGTGTTTACACATGTGCTGTGTATGTATGCATGTCTGGCTCTTCTTTCCAAAGCACTGTAACACAAACATCTATCTAAGTGTTAACACAATTCCAGTACACACTCCATGACTTTCATTATGTTTTTTTTCCCAATACTCAAGGATCCAACATTATTTCCAATTTGCCTCTATTTTGTACCACAAAAAATGGGCTCCCTGAAAATAACAGTGATCTTTTAGTTCTCTGTTCCTTGTCTTGCAGAAATGATGTTAGTCTTTTCTCTAGCTTTTTTTAATTTTTAACTTTCATTGGATAAATCATTTTGTTTTAGATAATATAATATAATACACACACATCAATTTTTATATACATATACCTATAGATAGATAGATGGATAAATGGATGGATAGATAGATTTAAAAAGTGAAAGTTAGCTTATCTTCTGCTTTTCTGTACTTTTGAGTGCTGTCAAAAGTCCCAACACAAAACTGACTTTCTGTGGACCCAGCAGGGATGCAGAGCATAATAATATTTGAAGAAGCCTATGGGTTTGCTGTACAGAGAACTTGTTTGGTAGATGTTGGCCTAGCGTGTTGTTACAAACCTAAGACCGATCAGAGTAGTGCATTGTGAAGGCAGCATGTCTCTAGATCTAATAGCTTCACAAGGGAGAACACTCAGGATGACTTCACTGAATCATCTATGGTGGTAGTAAGCTGCAGGAGAGTGCAGCGAGCCCCACCACCATTCCCTTAAAGCAACATGAGGCTTGCTCCTTCCCAATAATATGGGCTGGGATCTGACAGTCGCGACAGGGAGCATTGTTGTTCCCCCTGGTCTGTGAACGGGCCCAACATGTGGTATGCTGCTCATTTCCGTTGCTACCCATGACTTTTTAGGAATTTTTCAGGCAGCCGATGAATGCAGGTTCTAAAATTAAGACTGACAGAGGCCAATACTTGCAACATTTTAGGCTTCTTTGCTACTGTATTTCTCATTCACTTGATATGGCAGGGAACATTTGCATCATAAGGAAGCCTTTTTATAGACTGTTTATTTACGTAAATACATATAAGATTTGCATTAACATTTCTAGTTAGGGAAAATTCTATGGGAGTCTTTACTTCAAACTAAAATTGCACTTTTTAAATCTCAATTTCTTTCTCAATTCAGAACTAAGAATACTTACATGTGTGTTTTATTAAGAACTCTATCTGGATATTTGGACAGGTTATAACATTTTCAGCTTTTAAATTAGTTTTCAGGTTGAGATCCTTCATAATACATAGTTCTCACATAAATACCACTAAAAAGAACTTTCAGTGGGAGAAGGTACTTTAAGTTAAAACAAGTAACAGTTTCACTCTGCAACCTGTTTGATGAATATTACAGGAATGTTATTTTGTGAATACTGCATGATAAAGTGGAATCATTTGTTTTTACAAGTAAATAACTTATAAATACAGCTCTTGAATTAATGTTGTAGAAAAAAACATACAATATATGCGTGTGAGCTGCAGAAGTATAAAGTAATATTTACCTTGTAAATATATGCAAGTGTGCCAGTAGAGCTCAACTCACATTACTTAATCAACACCTGGATTGGAGTGTGCCAGGTTTTATAAAACAAATTATAACTACAGTGATTGAGCCAGAGGAACTTTCTTTACACTTTTAATGCAGTGAACTAATTACTTTTTTCATTAACAGCTCAGTCTGCATTATGGAGACTTACAGCACACTTATCAAAAGAATTGTGAACTCAAAAAGATCTGTTTAAAACAAAACAAAGAGGCTGAAGCAAGTTTGAAA